TATTTACCCATTCCTTCGTCGGCTGAAACTTGGAAAATCGTTACAAAGAAGGTGTGTACATTTTTCTTCGCTTAAGCTGACCGTTTTAAGCGAGAAAAATCCGTATTTTGCAAAGCATCTTTTTGCAAAACAAGAACTGATTACGCGTGCAAGACTTCGTGGACAAGATTTTGCGACTGGTAAGAATTTCTCTTTTAATCAGTGCCATACAAAGAGTTTTGCGTTTTTTTCTCGGGAAAGTTATTTTATAAAAGCAATAGAAAACTTTTTTCCTGTGTTTGCATAGCCTGATATAAACACTCGAGGCGTTGGGAGAATTCTCGACAGTTATGCAAACCCTCGACTTCGTCTCGGGTTTGCATAACTATCTTGAATTCTCCCAATCCCTCTCGTGTTTATATCAGGCTATGCAAACACGGAAAACGTTTTCTATTGCTTAAGTAATAGTAATACAGTCCTATATACAATCCAGAGGCGGATCCAGGGGGAGGGTTGAGGGGGTTGCAACCCCCTCTTTGGGAAGTTTTCAAACTTGTCTGGCTACCAATGTCTATCCCTTTTTCATACCAAAAATAATATTATAAGTTATAATGTAAGGTCCAGTTCAATCGATTATTACAAGAAGACTGTAGCTATTCCTCTTCTCGACTCCTTAATCATCCAAATGCAAGATCGATTTTCTGGCGAAGATCGCCACTCCCGCCATCTACCTTGTGTCGTGCCGTCGATTATACTAAATAGGGCACTACACTCTCTGATCTCGCAGTAGATCGCCATGTACTACTCTGAGTGATTCGAGGAAGACGAGATATGCCAGAAAGCCTTTAAAAAGGCTCCTCCAAGCAGGCTCTTTCATGTCAGTCTGTTTGATTGAGTAGGCGGGTAAAAAAAGAGACAAAAATCTATCGTTGTTGCACTGTACTCTTAGTCCTTAATAATAGTGTCTCAAATTTGACAAATTTATACCTCTGAAGAAAATCTACGTATTCAAACATTACCCTCCAACTCCACCCTCCCCCATTCCTTTGGCCTGGGATGTTTGCCTCGAACTCTCATACTTGCAATGCAACCCCCTCTTTGAAAAAATCCTGGATCCGCCCCTGCAATCTACAAACTATTTACAAATGTTATTTAATACATAGGCATTAACTTCCCTACAATATACTTTGAAATCGCTACAAATTCTAATATTTGTGTAAGGACATTAAATAACTTGGCAGCAGAGTCTTGAAAAGTGCCCCTCTCCATTGGTATAGTTAATATTGTTGCTGTTCCTGACCGCAAAGATCGCAGATGTTTAATTAACTGTATCTAGTGGTACGTAAGACGGCCAGCTGGGGGAGTACAAAGCCTGGTGAACGAGTTTGAGAACGTGGAAATCTCTTCGCTGTCTTACTGGTAACCACCCTATCTTACTAATATCGTTAATGTCATTTACATTATTCTAGCTATTCAGGACAAAACTAGCAGCTACTAGCTGGACACGTTGTAAAAGTTTTAGTTGAAATTCCGGCAAAGGGTAATAAACAGTGTCACAATAGTCAAGTTTTGACAGCACCAGTGACTCCACTAAGTGCTTTCTGAGTCTATAACCAGCAAAGTTCTTAAGTTTTCTTATTATTTGTATTGTTCCGTAACAGCTCTTGCACGTTGCTTTCACTTGCTCATCCCAATTAAGATGCTGGTGGAAATGGACACCAAGAAGCTTACTTACATTTACATGTTCTAATGTACTATCTGAGATTGTAATAGCTGGTCGGTTCTTATCTAAACTATGTACATGTGACATCTGGCTTGTGGATAGCAACATCGTCTTTGTCTTCTTCGAGTTAAGTGCTAGATGGGAGTCATTATCCCAGGAGCTCACAGTGTTTAGTGTGGAGTTTAGTTCTTGCGTACATGTTTGTAGCTTAGGAGCTGGACAGCTGGAGTATATTGTAGTATCGTCAGCGTGTTGAAATGAACCAATCGAGGAAGGGAGATGATCTTGCCCATCGGAAACGTAGAGATTAAATAACATTGGGCCGTGGATTGACCCTTGTGGCACACCGAAACGTACGTTCACTGATTCAGATGTACGATCATCGACCTGTACGAAATGTGACCGGTCACTGAAGTAGCTATTCAACCAGCGCAGAAACGGCTTCGAGAAACCAAGCGTTGATAACTTAGTTATAAGAACCTTGTAGTTGACTGTGTCGAACGCTTTGGAGAAATCGGCCAGCACCATGAGAGTAACCTCACCTGGTTAACATCATAAAATATTTAAATAATTAACACTCAAATAATTGTTTTGGATTGATTTTCGCAAAGTTATTGAGAAGACTTTTAGGAGCTGTCTTAGCGTGAACGTCATACATTAAATATCTTAACTGTTGAAAGAACAAAGACTGCAAAGGAAGGCAGTTTGATTCAGTAAAAAAAAGGATTACATGGTCTCTTGGTTTAGAAAAATAAATCAAACACAGGGCACGTTTTTGCAGAACAAGTATCTTATTGAGGTAGGTCTGTGGACAGTTGCCCCATGCACAGATACCATAACTTAAATAGGGAGCAATAACCGCATGATATAAATTCAAAAAAAGATGCCGTGGAATGTAATGCCTCATTTCAGCAATTACTCCAACCGATCTACTAATTTTGTGACAGATAAAGTCAATATGATGCTTCCATGATAGTTCAGAATCAATCATCATACCCAAATATTTAACAAAGTCCTTCATCTCTAGAATTACTCAAGTACTTAAAGTTGGATTTAAAATTTTAATTTGAGGAAAGAAAGATATTCTTTTTTGGCACAGACAAAAAATGACATAATTAGACTTTTTGAGGTTGAGTGTTAGTTTGTTAGCATTAAGCCATTCACTTACTTTCTCAAGCTCATTGTTGACGGTAAGTTTCAGAGTACGTAAGTTGTCATTTGCATAGGTTAGACTTGTATCATCTGCAAATAGATAAAAAGTAAATTCCGTGGAAGATTTATGGATGTCATTAATATATAACAAAAACAGCAAGGGTCCAAGTACAGAGCCTTGCTTTAAATGTGGGGAAATGAAGATGGAGACCGCGTCCGAGCTCAGACAGACATAATAAAATCTATCGCCTTGCCGTTCATGTTCTCAAGAAAACTTTAATGAGATTTGATCATTTCACGTCGTAGTTGTGCATAAACGGTGAACATATAGACAGAAAGCACGATGGAGTTGCAAAGCTGTTGCTTTACTTATTAAACTTGCCGCTTTTTTGACTTTCTTGTTGTTGTAATATATAGAGATTCAGGGGGAGCATGATACCAGGCTAGTTTTCTTTATTTTTCATATAAATTAAATTAGAATTAAATAAATTAAGGTAAATGATGTCCCTGTTCTTGTATGAGTTCCTCTTTACATTACTGTTCCTGTTCTGTTTCCGGTTCCTGTTTCCGTTCCTATTCTGGTTTCCGGCTTTTCCAGACACCCGTTGATAATCGTTTTCTTGAAATAGGCGATTTGAACTAACAGGTCATGTGACATCATTTTTATGAAAATGAAAGTTATATGACTTTGCCGTTGAAAAACGATTAGTGGGTCATATCTTAAACAAAATAATAGTGATTTTGGTTTTTCAAACCCGTACCATTTTCTTAAAATGAGTAAGTTTCGTAGCTGGTCACGTGACCAAAACATGATTTTTAAAATTATGAATTACCTCTTTCTGAACACAAATTTTGCACTTAAACTTCAAGGAAAATGTTGATAAGATTATGTGGTAACGCTTACAGTACATCTGAGCGTAACTATCAAACGTTTAACAAGATACAAGCAAAAAGTAGTTTTGGCCGCTATGTTGGGGGGCAAGAGTATGCCCTCCAACATGGCGGACAATACAAATCATGCTACTACTTTGAAAAATCAAAGTGGCATAAAATGTCTCCCTTAAATGCATTTCCTCTCAAATTTCGGGTGTAAGATAAGTCTTATGTGCTCTGTCAATTTTTGGCATCAGCAAGATTCCAACTCATTGTTTAAAGGAAGCATTGGTTACATGACGTTTTGGTGCAAATGGCCATTCCCCCTGAAAAAGCTAATTTCACCACAGGCCAACCACACAGTTGGCTAATCATAGAGTAGGGGTCACCAGTTCGATTCCTGCATGGCACTGGACTAATACTCAGCCCGGTTTTGATTACATGTAAAATAGCTGAGGAAGAAGTTGAGGTTAATTCAGCCTTTTAATCGCCCTGCAGATGGGTACACGTTGCCTTGAATCTAGTGACCATATATAATATAATTATTGGTGGTCCTGTACCTGAGTTGGAGATATAAAGACAGTGTTCTCAATAAGTACTTTGCTTGCTAAATTTACGTTCATCAACACAAAAAGTATGCTCATACCTAAAAGAAAAGGACAAAGGTGGAAAGACGTTATTAAATAGGTCCGCAATAGCTGGGATGAGTTTATGCAAGGATATTATCTTACTCAGCTTCCACCACAAGACAAGCTACAGAATGACTAGAGACTTATGTTTGTTTTTTTTACCTCTTTTGCGAAGATCCTTCCATCAACAGCCCAGAGCAAAATGAATGTTTCTATGCCAGAAACTTTTCAGTATTTGGAGTTTTTAATTGACCTATAAACTGATCATTGGCTCATGATAAATACACTTTTTAAATTTAGGAAATAATTTCACTTG